CTGGAATTTCCAGAGCCGTGGGTCTGAGCGCCCCGAGGCCGGGCTGGCTGCTGACGGGGTGCGCTCTTCCCCACGGGTGGAACTCTTCATCAGCCCACCGCGGGAACCGGGGACATCGCAGGGACACGCAACACAGGGATGAGCCCATCGCACTCCACCAGCTCAGCAGTTGGGACCTCGAAGGTGTTTCTCTAAGGAGTTCAGCCCTGCTCGCTTCACCCATGCATCCCTGAGCAGTCATTAGCGGGCTGCTGCTGGAATTAATCCTCTGCGGGTCTCAGCAGGGGGAAAATCCATCACTTACCGGGTCCTTCGCTGCCACCTTAGCTGGGCAAGCGCACGTGTCTGAGTGAGTGGGTTTTGCTGTGACAGAGCAGATGAGTAACGTGAGGATGTCTGTGCCCTCTGTGGGTGACTGCAGTGTCTGACCTCGTCACTGGCAGTGTGGTGACTTCAGGCAGTTTGCTCAGCAGTCATTGCTAACGTCAGTGCCGTTGGCATTAGTTAATTGTTATGTAATTATTATCTTTAGCATTGGATTTCATGTGGAAAATATTATTTCTCGGAGCCCGATTTTGACAGGCTGCGTGTCTGTCCTCTACCTGACACAGTTGTGGTGTCTACAGTCCAGCAGCGCGCACCGAAACTACAGAGTCTCGGCTCTGCATTTTTGCACACAGAAATGGCTAAATTTGGCCTTCTCCTTCATAAGGTGACCCAGGCCACCCGCTCTCTGAGAGCTGCACTCAGCGGCGACGAGAGCAAACAGAACCACGGGGACCTGGTGGCCACTTCTGCCGCTTCCAGCAGTCCTGGCGTCGTTTGTTCATGGTCAGTCTAGGGAATGAGAGTCCTTTGAGGAAAAAATAAGAGAAGTTGGAGCCATTGGGGTCAGGTGTTGCTGGAAAAGGGTTGGAAACAGAATCAAAGAGATTGCTTTTGAATCAAAGAACAGAATCAAAGAGACCGCTCTTGGTGCCCACTGCAGAAAGCAGGACCTCAGATGTGCTTTTTATAACTGAACAGGATTATGCTAAGAACCTCTTCGCTCCATCATCAGTCATCCCAGAAGATGTTGTTTTGTATCAACCAATGCTTGTTTTGTATCAATAAATATATCACTGCTTCTCTCCCTGAGTGGAGCACATCACTCCATCGGCGACAGGGGGTGCGGAGCCCTGGCCAAGGCAGCAGGGGCAGCCCCGATGCTGCCCCTCCGGCGTCTGCCTTCCTCCCCTGGGCGTGAGATGGGCGCTGGATCCGGATTTTGGGGGTTCAGTGTTCTCCCCTGCGCATCGCTGAGGCCAGAGGGAAACCCTCGCGACGTCTGCCGCTGGCTGCCTGAGCCCCGGCTGGTGGGACCGCAGTCCCGGGCTCGTTAGCCGCCAGCAATACAGCTGCCTACTTGGTCTTTTTTTTTGGGAAAAAAAAAAAAAAATTTGCAAATTGGGAATAAAGGGCTACACACAACAGCAACTGCTGAGAGACCCTGAAACAAAGGACAATGTGAGCATCACTGGTCAGCTCCAGTCTCGGTGGCAGCGTCCTCAGCTCGCAGGAGGAGAGGTGCCTCATCTCATGTGTTTTGCCCAACATCTTGGTCGGTGCCATCAACGGATGGGCTTTGGGTGCACGTCACCACCCGCGTGTGCCCCTCAGGGAGGGAGCAGTGGGGCTGAAGAGCGCCGTTTGCTGACACTGGTGTCTCCCTCTGCCATCCCGTGCCCGGCTTTGCTGGGAACTGGGGAGGTCTGAGCCCCGCGGTGCCCCGCGGTGCCCCTGTCCCAGCCCCGGCGCCCACCAGCGGTGGGTGAGGTGGGGTGGAGGCTCCACCAGCTCTCTGCTGCTGAGACGGAAAGGTTGTTGGAGCTGCGTTGCGTACTGCAGCTATGGCTACGGGTAAATATTGTGTATGTGGGCATCTCTGGTGTTGGCGAAGAAAAACAAAGCCTAAGCGGTTTAATTGCCGTGACAGGTCAGTTGGCCATGTGTGAGTACCCGGGGTGAGATAAGGAGATCTACGAGGCAAAGGACACTAGGTTATCTGTGGCTGAGTAGTCAAATTGGGAAGCTTGTGTCTTTCGCTTACATTGTCCTTTTTCAAGTGTAGCACAGACAGCACAGCTGTAGAATCCTAGAATCGCAGAACGGTTTGGGTTGGAAGGGACCTTTAAAGGCCATCTAGTCCCACCCCCCTGCCCTGGGCAGGGCCACCTCCCCCCAGCCCAGGTTGCTCCAAGCCACGTCCAACCTGGCCTTGAACACCTCCAGGGATGGGGCAGCCACAGCTTCTCGGGGCAACCTGCCCCAGGGGATCACCACCC